TTTAATTATGGTCTAAGGTCAGAGTGGAAAATGCAAAATAAAACGGGTGAGTAGTTTCAGTAATTAATTTTAAGATCCATGAAATATATAAGCTGTGAAAATTGATTCTGATTTGGTGCTCTCTAAAACATACAATAAATTAAGATAATTTATTTTAAAAGTAATGTTCCCATAAAATGTTCTGTGAAACAACCAGAAACAAATTCCAAACAAGCCGTCACAAACTGCATGCTCAGTTCAAAAAAACTTTGAAATCTACCTCTCCTATGGATACCAACTACCTGTGAGGGACATTTTAAAACTATCCTTTAATTTCAAGTTTTTGAGCTTTTTCCAAGAATGATATGCGTACACGATGCAAGTAGACACACAATTTATTGAGAACCCACAACAAAATGTGTAGCATTCTCTACCTATAAGTAAACAATTAAGACTGGTTACTAACCATCGCGTTTCTTAATGATGATCTTGGAGAGCATTCAGCAACTTCGTTGTTTGTTTTCCCTTCAGTCATGTACTAGCAAGTGAAACATACCGCAGCATGAAAAGGTAACCATGACTAATTTAAGCATTGTGAACTGTCTTGAAATTCGTGTTTATTATGAAGGAAGAAGTGAAGAATGAATGAAATGAGTGAATGAAATCAAAAAGCTATGTCTGGACTTTGCCCATGGTGAAGCTTTACCAATGTCTGGTTCTTAGAATATTACTGCAAATGCCATCTTCAAAGTTCATGTATAATCAGTGGTTTTCAGTTATTCAGTTAGCTTCTACAAAGAAAGAAAAGCTAGGTATTTGCATGATATATTAAAACATTTAGCACATTTAGATTTGTCTACAGTTCTCTATTCCTCAATCAAATTTCTCTAATCCATCTTCACTCTTACACATATGAGGATCACCAAGAAAAGAAGTCTTTACCTTGTGGTTGCAGGCAGTGAAGGAAGTTTAGTTTACTTTGCTTTATGTAGGGGAATTTACAAGAAGTCTCTATTGTGAAATACAAGTACAGCATGCAAAGTGTTGGGAACCTCTCGCTTAAGACATACTTCTCATTTGAATTTAGGAATATCCTGAGTCCAGCCGATCCCAGGTTCAATCAACAGTCTACTTCAAACCCAGTTTATTTCAAGTTCAATAACAACATTTTGTGCATGGCATTTGTACCTATGATAACTTTGCTCTGAAATGCAGAGTACCGTCAAACTGATAAGTGTTTGGCCTCAGAATTTTGCTTGCTTGCAAAGCATAGCAACATAAATCAAATAAAGACTGAAAAAATATTGCACAGCCAGCAATTGCAAATGCCTCCATCTGATCATTTTGAAATTTAACCATGGAACTTGAACGACATACGCCGTTGAAGAGTCTTGGTTCTCTTCATTAAACTTTACAGACTATATTTCCTTGATTTGATGATATTAATACATTCACCTTAAAACCACATCTATTCCTACATTTGGTTTGTTGCCCAGCAGTAAAAAGAAAATATGTCATAAATTTTAGAGAACATCGAACTTGCTGGTGTTGAGCAAGATTATGTTTTTCAATTACATGTGATTTACTAACCTCCCTAATAGACACCTTCATTTTACAGAGATGTCCTAAATCTTAAAATCAATTTTAACAACATATTAAGAACTCTCAGTCTCGCCTTTGACATATTTTCTTTTTATGATGCCTCATGTTTTAAATATTTTCCCTTTCCCAGTCATTTAATTATAAGAAATGATAACCAACGCTGTTAACCAAAAGCCACTTTCTTTCGCTACCTGACAACCTTCAGAGCTGACTTCTAACTCTCAGAACAAAACTTCAGTGCCACCAACTTTTAATTCTATTCTTTGTCTTGCATTAAATAAAAAAAAAGGCAGGATTGTCACATTTACATGAAAAATTATTTCAATATGCTTTTATAACTCTAGAAATGTAATATTAACTCTAATATTAATTAAATATGCCAAATTTAAAAGGAATTTTTAAGTCCAGCTTTTATAAATTTGAACAAGGGCCAGTCATTTTTTTAATCAAAATCATGTTAAATATTCATTCATGGTTCAGTGTGAGCACTTACAATAAGGTAAACTCTTTAACGTAACCATCAATATAGCAAAAGCCTTGGAATAATCATAGAATCACTTTTATCACATAACACCAAGGCAAAATTTTTAATGTATGCAAAATTATATTACAATAATGGCTAGTATTAAAGGGTTCACATTAAAATACAAGTTATTCTTAACACAGAAAAGTAAAACTTAAAGCAAAGCAAGGCTGTGACTACAGACAGTTTTATGACTAAGAGAAAAAAAACCCATCTGACACTACCATATTCTACTGTTCTTAAAGTAACTTCTTATCAACAACATCAGAATATTGGACAAGGCAGGACAAGAAAAGAAAATCTGTAGACTACTGCCTCATTAATTTTATACATAAAGATTATAGCTCTCTATTAGTAGAAATGTTAATGGTCAAAGAATTTTCAAGACAGCTTGCATAAGTTTATCTCATTATTGGTACTCAGTACAGACCACTACCACTACAAGACCTGAATCTTACGCGACAGTTAAGGTCACTCACTTCAAAATATCAAGAAAAAAATCACAGGAAAAACAGAACTTGCACTACATTTAGATGATTTGAAACAGAACACTTTACCCTGCCTGTAAGTGTTGAACAGGAAATATATTCTGGCATCGAAAGACAACTTAAACTCTGAAAGACAGTAAGTCACATTGTCTAAACGCCTGTGTGTACACACACACACACATATGTGCACACACACTCTTGATTGTCCAGTCATTCCAACAACTCCTTATTACTCCCACCTACCAAACTGAAAAAAAACAATCTTTCAATTCTTCCTCCGTCCCACACATTAATAAAACCAAAATTGGCTTGTATCGCCATGGTACGCTTTCTGGAGAGACCGCAGCAGCTTTCCTCATGATGACTGCAGGTAGGGCTACCTGGCTACAACATCGTGAAAACAACCAGCAACGATTTCACTGCTGAATATTTGAAGTTATGGTTAATTAAAAGAAACCAAAATTTCTCCATTGTTTTTAATTTTAATTTTTTGCTTTTATTTGGAATTTAAATCAGGCATTTCATCAAAATGTCCTTTTCAATAATCTCCGCAGTGAGAGCTACAGCTTCTACATGGACACACATTTTGTGTTATTCAAAACAGATAACATATGCAATAGTTACTTCAGATTGAGAAAATACTAGACAAAAATCAAGTATGCTTCTGCAAAACCAGTATTGTCTGCCACCAGAACATTCCAAGAGGAAATAACAAACATAAGTTGTGACAAACCAAGTATTTGATATCCCACGGGATCTCCCTCTCCTGGCTTTATTTAATGCTGAAGATTAACATGTAGGCCATAATCAGCCAAGAGACTGGGCTTCAAAAGATTTTGCAGTTATGAGGCAGAGAATACCAGAGTTTTGCCTCATGTTCATACATTCTGAAAACTAAAGTAACTAGGACTGTAACTGAATTAAGCAACAGCCTGAGAAATTACAAACTCCACAGACAATCCCATTTTATGGTTGATCACTGCTATGTCTATGCTTTCCAACTACTGTGTCAAAGTACCCATGAATACCACCATTTAGGCAGGAATACCAGAATCAATCCTATGACTCTAAAATAGCCTCCTTTTACTAAGAAAATAATGGAATTTGTCATGAAAATAAAACTAAAAGAAGAAACCCAAGAAAATACGAAAAGAAAAAAACTATAATTTTCATCCTTAAAGCAATCTCCCATGCAAAAGTGCCAAGGGAAAATTTTCAAACACAGAGCCCAGGTTACAAACCTGCTGAAAGTCAGCGGTACTCAGCAGAACTAGGGTGGCTCTCAAGTGACCTCTCTGAGCTCACAACACACATCTGACACAAAGCCACCCATCTGACGGACGAGGAACAGGGCAATCATAGCCAAAGCCGGTCATGCAAGTAAGTGCTACTAAATCCTTGAATCCTCTGAAGAACAGAGGCCAGGTAAGTGTGATTTCAGACAGATGATTATGGTTAAAGTTTGACATATTTACAACAAACAACTTTAAACTATTACCAGTTTAAATCTTCTCGTCTATAAGCAAAGCACAAGTTTTAACATACCAGTTGAGGATGGTCCACATGCTTGAAAAAACCACAAGCGTCCAAAAGAGCACACACACACTAGAGTTTGGGGTCATTTCAGTGTTAATAGTTAACGCGGACAACAGTGATGGATCATTGTCCTTAAAATTGCTCCCTAGGTCACCAGATTAATTAAAATAAGGAGTATAGAGTTAAGTCTTGCTTTAAAAGCCAAAGCTTTGAAAACAATTTTCTTAGAGCTGGGAACTTTTTCTGAAACCTGTAACTGACATAGAAGCACTGGGTGTAAAAAAATCCCATTCCAAAGCCTCTGAACAAGGCTTGTTAAGAACCTCAGACAGAAGTCACATTATTACAACTCTTCAAAATTAATTTGATATTTCATTGTTGGAACATCATTCCAGATGCAAAATTAAGAGAAATTGTTCTTCCTCACTGCACAGAGTAACACCTTTTTCTGCATCTAAAAAGTTAGTAATGAAAATATCTAGACCATGATATGAAATATACCACAAAGTATATGACAATTCCATATGAAAATATTTTAGAGAAATTACTTTAAAAACACACACTGTCAGGCAAAGGGAAAATTAACTAGCAGCCACCTTCATACAACACAACTAGGACTGCAAATTACAGGAAAAAGTGCATACTCAGGTTTCATATTTGCTATCACTGAACACCGATACTTAAAAAGCAGATATCAATTTTACATTTATCTTCAGGTAAGTAAAATATCCAAAGGAAAGTAAAATTCCTAGTAAATTCTCCTGTATCATAGATTATCAGTAAATGAAAACATTACTATTCGCATGCTGCTAAAAATTACAAGCTGGTACAGCCTCCAAAAAAAATCATCAATGGATTTTGACATGACTCACCCCACTGGAGAGGAGCCAACTGTAGATGCTCCAGGACTAGCTGGTTAAGAACGCCTTCCACACTTGCTTCCCCTTCACGCTTCAAGGAAGGGTAAATTGAAATTAAGGAAAATTTTGCTTCAGAGAGAAAAAGAGGATGTAATACATACAACTTATATTATTGCAAATCAAAACTGCAAGTTAGAGATTCATTAAAGGTTAACGTTACATACTTAGTTTTTTAACCCATGAATTGGCTAACAATAATAACTAGAGCATTTGATATCTTCAGAATATAAAAAAATAAATTCCACCGAGGAGTGTTAAGCATGAAGATGCAGAGGTAAAATATACCTGAACCACAGTAAAACACAAAGGGATAGAAGTCTGGAAGCCGTAAAAATGCAGAACCTCTAACTATGTGGTGCAGCATGAGAATTCAAAACAACAAATTAAGAGCAATCTGAAAACAAAAAGGATAAAACTTAACAGGGCAATACGAAACAGAACGAACTGGGCTAGCATAGCTTTGAATACGGTCTCGGTGCCAGTTCGGTGGAGGTACAGGGATGTCAGACAACGCAGTGGCAGTGTCATTATCAAGGGCAAACATCACACCGGAATCGCACAGGCACGTCACCTGCGAGCTTCCCTTTCTACTCACTCCTGTATGAGCTCAGTAACAAGCTCAGACAAACAAGAAAAAACTAGGAAATTGTTCTTACTCTAAGGACAGTGAAGTACTGAAATAAACTGATGGGAAAAGGGGAATATCTATTTTTTCAAAGGGCTTCAAAACAGGTTATGCAAGTGCTAATATCCAATGTAACAAAGACAGTACGTTCCATACAAACAAATTATTACTAATTTCCTGTGTGATGCATCAACCACGATAATACGTGTCTGTGACAGGAAAAGCACTGGATTTCTTTTTTCTAATTCCCTGACTTCAGAAAGGCACCGAGTACAAAGGGCTTTGAAGAACACACAAACATTAGCATCATCTTGGATTTGGCCAAAGTCGCGTTCACTGGCTTTTGGTACAATTTTGTACCACAAGCCCCCGTCTGAGGTACTTTGAGAGGAAGAAGTGGAGGTAACGGCTTTAAACTGAAGGGTAATGGCTTTAAACAAGCAAGGGGCTTTAAACTGAAACAGGGCAGATTTACATCAGATATACAGAAGAAATTCTTGACTCTGAGGGTGGTGAGGCACTGGCACAGGTTGCCCAGAGAAGCTGTGGATGCCCCCTCCCTGAAAGTGTTCAAGGCTAGGCTGGATGGGGCTTGGAGTAACCTGGTCTGGTGGAAGGTGTCCCTTGCCCATGGAATGGGGGCTGGACTAGGTGATCTATCAGGTCCCTTCCAACCCAAATGAGTCTATGATTCTAGGAGGTAGAGCAAGCATGGCTCCTTTATGGATGCACATACAGCTTATGAGCTTCTGTGTACTTACACCAGAACTCCTCTGGCAAAACTTCCATCATCTTTACAGCTCAGCTCATGCTTTCCCAGAACAGGAGCATCACACAGAAACAAAATTTGAGAGAGAGGCAGGATCCTCTCCGAGACTTGAAAACACTCCTTTTCCAACTTCATAATGCTCAAATGAAACAACCATAGATGAAGTGGTGTCCCACATAAGGGTTAAGCTCCTAGTAAGATTGACCAAGGTTTCAGTCAGTGACTCCAATAGTACTGGAAACATGTAGCTCAAAAATAGGTTAAAAAATTGAAGAATATCTGAGCTTTTATCAACAGCTTCTAAATGTGATCAGTCCTTTTTCTGCAAAACTCTGGAAAGAGAAACACATCATCTGATTGATAAAGTATACTCTCATCTGTGTCATTTAAAAGAAAATTAAGAAGTACTGCAGATAACTAATTTCTAGCACAGGACTTAATTTTACAGGGTCTCCACAAGAAAAGTCTTGAAAACTCAGATTAAAATGAGATCTAACAATTAGTGATTGAGACTCAAGAGTTCAAGGAGATGATAGAAGAGAAAAATCAATACATCTTATAGCATTCTCAAAATATTTCTTTTAATAATTCTCATTATGCCCTGAGAAATGTCTTAAATAGCTAGTAAGAACTACAAATGAAGAATGCACAAGCCCCAAAGAATCTGAAAGCCATAAATACCGCTGAAGAAAAGCGCCCATTTGGAAAACTGAAGGCAGCAGAACACCACCTTAGGAAAACACTGCTGCTGAAAAAGACGACCCAGGACACCAGCACAAAGAAATAATTTCCATAAACTAAACTACAGGACAGAGAATGCATAATTTGCATTACTGGATGATAATTTGCATGGATACAGCAGATAAATAATTCTGTTATCACATCTTTAATGTAAGGAATACATGTGAGAGAAAACACTAATAAAAAGGCAGTATTTAAAAGAAGTTTTAAAACAGAATGGATGCCATTAACTGCAATGTTAAACTAACCTAACTGTAATTTACTTACAACTGGCTCACAGTGGTGCCTGGCATATTACAAATTTTTACTGCTTAAAGCTCCATGGAAAGCTTAATGTCTCAGATACCATTATAAAATGACTATAAAATAGGTGATTCTCCATACTTTACCATTGGTAAATGCTATCACAGCAGATCCATGTATTTATAAGGAAAACACATTTTGCAATTTAAAATTCAACACAACTACAGATTATTTCTGAAGCCAGCTGCTTCTTAGATTGAGTGTAAAAAGTATGCATAGCTATACCTCAAGTAATAAGAAAATGACACACCTAGACTTCTTAAATACTGTGCCCAGTTTTGGTTCCTCAGTTCAAGACACTGAAATACAGGACAACATTCCCTAGAGGGTTAACAAGATAGGAGGGCTGGAGAATATAACACCTTAAAAGTAGCTGAGAGAACTGGGTTGGTTTGGTTTTGAGAAGAGAAGGAAGGCTAAGGAGAAATTTTATTGCCGTCTATGCTAGTGGGAGAGTACAGAGAAGATGGAGCCAGATTTTTCTTGGAGAAGCACAGTAATACAAAGAGGGGCAACGGACACAAGTTGCAGGGCAGGGTGTTACACCAGACCTGAACAGGTTCCTTCCTACCTAAATTACTCTACCATCAACGTAACCTCGCTGTCTTCAGCTGACTGCCCAGGAAGACGTGGCAGTGCCAGTGGCATTCAGTGCAGTCTTCAGGCTGCCCCACAGGCATGGCAAAATAGACTCAAACATAATGTAAATGCTGAATTTGCACAAACCAATTCAGAAAACATGCTTTCACTCGCAAGCAAATCCCCAAAATACTTAGTTTAACCAGTACCTAAAATCTTGCCCTCAGAGTATCTCATCCAGCTTAAGCTCTGCTGCCAAGCAGACTTCAAGACAAACATCACTGAAGTTGACAGAGAAGCTCAACATCGCTCATACAGTCCGACCACTCCTAATGGACACAAACAGCAGTGGATTTCATATCCTTGATCTTTGTCTCCTGACTATGTCAGGCAATTCTATAAAATTGCTCATTACCGTGCAAATACAAACTGAACACTGTAGAAAACTCATAGCCTTGGAGATGAAAAGTAACCAAAATAAGCAGTAATAAAATGTCAGAGGAAAAAGAAAGAAAAGCTTAACTCAAGGGTTTTCCTATTTCCTAAGACAAGCTTTTAGATGTCAATTAAAGCAAGGCATTTGGAACAGGGGGTGCCAATACACACTTTCATTCTTCTCTCAAAGTGGAACCTGATCAAAGACAACAGTGTAAGGTGCGGAATTTAAAATTAAATGACAAAAACCTGCACAAACGGAAGTACAGACTGGCAAAAGTAGTTTGACCTTGTACAGTCCGTCTACTTCACCAAACCTCCAAACGTTTTGCTGAAATCTTACTGTGATTACAAACCTGCTCTTGGCAGGAGTCAGATCGCTAAATGCCTTTGTTGACCCAGGCCTCACTTCCAGCAGTCAAATCTTTGTTACTAACAACGCACGCATCAGCCAGGACTGGAACGCGGCTGATTTGAAGTTTCCAGCGCAAATGGTCATGTTTGGCAATTCAAGATATTTTCATTTGCACAACCGAATGAGTTTCAAATGGGGCCGCAGAGCCAACGAGCACACAACCACCAGATGCTATTTAAAAAAAAAAAAAACCACTAATTTTTCACAGTAGACACCTTCGTGTTCCTTTAGCGACAGATTGTATATGATATAAACTGTTTCACACCAAAAACCTGAATGACAGTCAAATGAACTAGTTATTTCCCCAAGGAAAACTTTGGTCTTTTATACTGTCTTGATTGTTGAATGTGTGGCTGGATACTCGCTATTCTAACACAGCGCGTTACCTAAAAGCTACTGCTTAAAAAGACAACAGATTTTTCAAAATGGTTTCTATCTTAAAGTTACTCATGCTTTTCCTTTCTGCTATGCAGCATTCCACTTCTTGCGTTCTTTGAAAAAGACTTATTTTCAATAACATATTTCTCAGTTCCTTTGCAAATAAATACAGGTGGAAGCATGCACACAATCAAAACAAATTAGCAAATGTTCATAAATAAGAATTATATTAATGAAAAACAAATTTAAATGATTATCAATCACAGTTTACTTGTAGCAGTAGCCTTAGTCATATTTTAAGCTTTCTGCTTGACTGTTATTGTGGTACTTGATTATTAAAACTAATTACATGCAGTTCTTAAATAATAGTTACTTTTGCAAACAATTGTTGATGCTAAGAAGCTGCACGGCATTGTAAAGCTCCATCCAAGGAAAGTATTTCTAAGGAAACCTTTACCAATGCGCAAAAGTTCCACAACATGCAATATTCTCATAACCAGAGATTCATAATTATGAGCAAGATGAAGTCAGCAAAAGCTGAATAGACAAACAGAAAAGTAAATTTCAATAACAGTTATCAGTAGTTTGCTGTCAAGCCCAAACAGCACATCAAATAAGATGACTCAAGGTTCTCTCCAATACAAAACAATTTCAAAATTCTGATTGACTACTTGGATGATGAAATACAAAAACATTCATAAAATTTATATATTTGGAAAACAGTCAGTGTTCACAAACCTAATAAATAAGTTGAATTTATGACGATCACTTAGATGAAAATCAGTGAAGAAAAGTTGA